AGAGAGAGGGAGAGAGAGGGAGCGGTGGGCGAGGCAGCCTGAACTCCGCCGGACCGTTCAGATGTGCTGGCCGCGCAGGAGCGACCCGGCCGGTGGTCAAGGTGGGGCGTATTACTGGCTGTGAGGCTGTGTGTGTGTGTGTGTGTTTCTGCTGGCTAAAATGCTTGTTCCTGTCAGCCTGATTTAGCCTGTGGCGGCTTGATGACCCAGTTTGCGTGGAAACGGCAACCTGGGGGAAAGCGTCCTTTAACACGACTTTATTCCAGTGAAATGTACCTCTGGCGGGTCTGTTTTACGGGGTTTCTGCACAATTTGGCGTCGTCAGATTCTCCGAGGATATAGATTTGGTGTTATAGGAGTTCTGGCTGAAGGCCTGTCTGTGTGTCATTTAGATCATATCGTCCGGGCCCACTGACACAGGAGGAGCTGATATGAATTATGGGCACCCCTAGAGATTTTGATCACAACCTCCCAGCTCCTGCAAACATTTAATCAACATTTATATGATTGATACAGTGGAAGTGTGGGCAGGGGGTTTTGCTAAAAGTGCTACATGGAGTATTTGCACTGCTGTTATTTTACAAAGGCTGATAGCAGCTAAAGGGCTGCTTGAAATGTGCTAAAGAAAAGTAAGAATTATGTCTAAATTAACATAAAAGCCAGCAATGGCACACAGGCGGCGCTTTATCAGTGCTAAAAGATTGACAGATTTGTTTTATAAACCTGTGTCATGACTGCTACATTTAGGAAAGCATGAAACTTAAACCGGGGGACTCTAGATAATTAATTTGTAAGCACTCAACTGTTTCTAAGCTGTAGTTGATGTCTACATTTATATAATCCAAACTTGTCAGAAAGTGTCAGCATTCATAGCCCCCCCCTTTTTAAAAAATCTGCTGAGTTCATAATAGGCCAAGGAAAAAGCCTGTGCTCAAGTAGGGGATAGGTTAAAATCAGGAAGATAACTGGGGCCGAATCACTCCTCAGAAATGCGGTGACACCGGCAGTCGTCTGGCAGATGTTTCTTCAAATGAAAGATAAGTTTATAAACACGAGTATATTACTGTAGATGTTTGTGAGGACCAGTGAGACATTCTTAAAGCAGCGACGTAACTAAATATTTGGGACTCAGTCCAAGCTTTGGGCCTCTCGAGTCTCCTCAACTCACACATATACCTCTATCTTTACAGTCTTTTACACTAATGTAACACATTTTTAAAGATGTATAAGTAAGTCCCTCCCTGGGATGAGCGGTTTTGGAGCCTGTCTTACATAATTGTACAGCCAGAGTTCAGTGCGCCTGTAGGAATGCGCAATAGGCTGTGTCACGAGCTGCATTTGTGCCATTGCAACCCCGGAGCGTGACATAAGCCACCCTGTCAATGAGGATCACATGGCAATGACGGGGTGTCAGTTTAAAAAGCAACTCATCTCGTCTACATGTGTTGTTCGCCCTGCATCCAGGCAAAAAAAAAAAAGGGCAACCTCCCCCCGTGCCGGTTTTATTGCCTACATTTGCAGAAGTGAAGCCATCTTGCTCAACTTGGGTTACACCCTTCATTCCTATTGCGTGCCTTGTCAAGGGAGGATGGGGCAAGAAGGGATGTGTTGTGTAGGTTCATTTAGAAAAAAAAATGAAAAAGAAATCCAGTTTTTTTTCAAACTAAATGGCACAGACTGCCCGAGGACAGGCTTACAGGCCTCATGCAGCACGTTACCATCTCCCAGGATGTCATGAATTCAGAATGGCATTCAGCTATTCCTCCTGAGCGAGTGCAACAACCTGAACCCCTTTTTTATTTGCAGTGATCTCAGGGTTAAAGTCGGATAGCCTTTAAAAGTCCAGCAAACCAGCCAGCAGCAGAGCATAAGACAAGGCTCTCTGCACTATGATCAGTGTGTTGCCAAAGCCACCGCCCTTTCCCTGTCTTTGTCCCCATTCCCAGTCTAAAATGATCAGTCTATATTACAGACTTGCAATCTGGGGCAGTAAACACTCTCCCACACCCACAGCAAGAGGAATGCACCTGAATGCATGTATGTAATATAACATTTAATTATCGTGTGTTTCCATTCACAGAGCTGTCGCAGCAGCGTGCAAAAGTCGGCTATTTCATGTGATAACTCTGCATTTCTTCACATATATCTTTTTTTT